AGTTGTTAAAGCAAGATTTTGTTGCTAATAAAATTTCCCTTGGCTTCACAATCCTGTTTGCATTTAAAGTCTCCTATTGTACATTGTTTACTGCAAAGAAACAATACAATTATTAATAACAAAGGCCATACAATCACTGATTAATCTATGATCATTACAGTTACTTTCATGGACACCTCCTCTGCTCAGCTTCAATTAGCAACAAAATTAGAGCAGATAGTTTGTCTTAAAGGGCCTATCTGATGTTTTGCTGACATGGAGTTTCCTTCTCCAACCCCCTGCCACTGCTCGAGCTACCTGTAGCATACAACAGTAAAAACACTACAACTTTGAGTGGAGGGGAGGTTGGAGGAATGTGAATTATTTTGGGGATGAAAGTTACCCCATTTGAGGACAGTGTCCAACACTTTTGTCGCCAATACATTTGTGTGTCAAAATGGGTGGTCTGAGTTACCAGTAAGAGTTCGTGAGTAAATCTGCAATAAATAATGTGCAATCCATTGCCAGAATTGGTTAGTCCTACCAGTCAAGCTGCACCCTTATAATATTATTTGGCTGACAAAGTATCTGATCATTTTCTCCAAAATATGACCAGCTGAGCCAGCCTCTTTGTTTTGAAGACAATCTTGCTGCCCAAGTCTACCTCCAAGCTAATTTTATGCAAAGATTATCTTACACTGTAAGTGAAATACCTTTACTCTTAAGTTTTCTTGGTATACATACTTAGTGGAAGAGTATTGTATGTGCATTAATTCATAGATGGTGCAACAGATGAGTAATGTACATATTAGCAGCCCTGCAGGTCAACCTCCACCATCTCAGCAACAAACTCCTGGATGGCCACCTCAACCAAGTTCAAATTCTACGGTAGGTTAAAAAATTGTTTGTTATGGAGACAAGGTAGTTATAAGGTCCCACTTTCTTTCTTTTCAGGTTTGCTGGGCATGAAACTGCACCTAATACTACAGTCAGGGTTTCTTTATAATATTTATGGTACTCCCTAACAAATCCTTAAAATTAGTTGCCAAATTGGCAACCAAAATTTCTTCACGACACCTAACTTTATGACCCTGTGAATGTCTGAAAATATGTCTTAAAAATGGGCATCCAAATGTTCTTGTTTGTGTATTCAAATCAGCACATTCCACAAAGAAAATCTGTCATACCATCTTGCATTTCAAGTAGATATGTCATATATGGTTCCTTCTTTTGACTCCTTTGTTTACCTTAAGACATAGTTGATAAAAAAACTAGTCAGAGACGAACTGTTTGGATCTGGGGCTTCTGGAAAAATTGTTTACCATATTTCCTTGAATAATAGCTGTCCCTTGATTAATCGCCTCCCTTGAAAAATCCTCCCCCCCCCCTCCTGAGACAGGAATATATAAAATAATTGCCTCCCTCAAATAATGCCCCCCCCCACCCCTTTCTTTTATCCTCTCCTTGCCAAGTTGAAGTGAAGTCTGATCCAACTAAACTGCTCAGTAACGATTCAATCTCTGAAGTCAAGGAGGTAAGGTACCTCTGCTGAATCACAATAGAAAGTTTCTGGATTACTCATGTTAAGCTGCAACTTTCACAGGAATTTGCTTATTTTTTAGGTCAGGGCTTGTTTCTTTGGTTATTTATTTTTTTTGCTTTCCTCTTGACCGCAGCAGGGACAATACAGAGGACCACCAACAGGACCCTCTCCGATGACAGCCATGGGACATCAACCAGTACCACCCACGAGTCGGCCTCCAGGTCCTCCAACAATGCCGACCATGCCCCCAATGCACCAACCTGGTTTCCCCCCATCATCCAGTTCAGGGGCCCCACCTATGGGGGGTATGACCCAATCCCTGATGGGTAGACCCAATGCCACACAAATGCCTCCATTGCCAGGGTCTTTCCCCGGTTCCCAGGTTAGTATGTCTGCTCCTTCCTTTAGTGGGTCTGCCAGCGCTGGAGTGACAAGCCTTTCAGGGCCGACACTTAGCCAGGCAGCACCTCCTAGTGGGGTTTCTGGTGCTGGGATGTCTCATGTGTTACCTGGTGGTCGGCGCTTGTATCCAGGTCATGCACCACCAAGTCCCGTGGAGAATCAACCTTCTGCTGGATCGATGGGAATGCCTCGACACACTGTGAGTTCAGGAAGCTGGTGATATGCATGCAGCAAGCTGATTTTGCTTGATAATTTTGTGCATGGAATTATTTGTTGCCCGACACATTCAACATAAATCAGTCAAACATTCACTAAGTTCTGATTATTACTACATGTTGAATTTCTTGTTTGTTGATATTGGTAGCCTTCTTTAAAATAGTAAATGGTGATTGTTTTGTAATGGACACAAGACATAAATGTCTGTTAATGACTTAACACATCCAGCAGACTTTGGTTTGTTAAACGTGCTTTTATTCGTCAGTTTTTTTTCCTTTGAAAAAGTTCTCTCTTTCCTTCTCTTTCTCTGTTAAACTCCACCTACAATGTGGTAGACTGCTATTCTTGGAAATTGTCTGTGTTTAAAGTGAGTCTAACAAGTATTTCAACTGTTGTTTCCTTTTCACATGAACAATTTGCTGACCTTACTGAAAAACAAATCATCATTAGGCCTGTAGAGCCTCTCAACAATGGTGAATCCATTTCTAAATAGCAAGTGAACAAGCCACAGTGTTGAATGAAAGCATTCAATTTTAAAGATTATCTATATGTATATTATGTCTAGTGTCATGACAGTGTCAGAGTACAGATGTAAATGTAAATATATGACTATAGCAACATAGTATCACTCAGGGATGTCACTAAGCTTTTTCATTGCCGGATTATGAAATTAGTGGGTGAAGAATTGAGCAGCAAGGAACTTCTTTTGGTTCTATTTTTCTTTTGCTTTGTATTAAAGTATCTGAGGGTTGCCCATAGTAACTAGCGCAAATTCCTTGCCCCGTCCCTTAGTTACACTAGTCACTACTTACTGTTAAGAATAATATTATCATGGACCACGGCACTCTCGTTTCCGAAAAATTGAAGAACAACTCCCCAAAAAATCTGTGGGCCATCTGTCCACCAACAGTCGGCAAACAAATTTTTTGGGCAGCTTTTCATCAAATTTTCTCAATGTGCCTTTAAAAAGCCGCCTTGGATGCATCATGATGTTTTTGTAACCTCTTGCTTCAGGGTCAGTCAATGTATCCAGGTGCTGGACCTATGAGTGGAATGCCACCAAGTGGACCTGCTCAACCTGGGATGGGTCCTCACACACCTATGAACTCACCAATGCAGCAACAGAGAAGAATTGATCCTGATCAGATGCCTAGTCCTGTTAGTATACCCTTCCAATCCTTGCAGTTTCAAAGTACTTGTGCATGATTAAGTTCTGTAGATCATGAACATTATTTATCAGTATCCTCCCCTCTGAGTTAACTAGATGTTCTCGTTCACTGTAACTTTTATAGTCTCAAAATTTTGCTCTTGCTAAACACAGTATTTGGATTCATTGTTGGTCTTTGAGATATCATAGCTGTCCTCATCCTCATCATTATCATCGCCATTATTTTCAGTCCATTTCGCACCAAGCATCAAAATGAAAAATGATTGCTTCTGAATCACCACTTTTTCAGGCAACCATTGTCCTTCAATATTTACCTGTTTAACAGAAACAATTGACAGCTGAATGTTGCATTTTTACATCTACACTGATTGAACGTCTCCATAAGCAGCCATGTGTTTTGGTCCTGAAGTTATCCATTGTGTACTTTGTTTTAGACTCACCTCCTCTCATGTTTAACAGATCCAAGTAATGAAAGATGACAATGAAGCTTTTAAAGGATCACCATATCTCACAAGCACAAGAGGAAGAACCCCACCTCTTGTAACCAGCAACTTTGTTGTTCAGGATGATGGTATGATCTAGCATTTCAATGTCTTTCCTCTTTGGTGTTTTTAGTTTTTGTTGTTGTTTTTTTAATAAGTATGGATTTTCAGGGTTCAAAATTGCAACCAGCTGGTGACAATGCTCCTAAAACTTGACAGCTAGTGACCAAAATTTCAAAGGTAGTCACCAGTAGGCAACTGTAATAAGTTTCCGCTCCAGCATTTTGAACAGCTGTTCTAGGTTCAGAGGATATTGGTTTTTATTCAACTTTTTAAGGATATCATTTTAGGGAAATTTAATGTAAAATGGCATCCAAAACTTTTGATTTTACATGTTTATGTCTCCTTTCCAAAATATATGTTGTAGTTAATTTTTATCTCAGGTAATTTTTATTTCCCTTTTGTTTCAACTTCATTAGCGTACATTACTATACCCAAGAACAAAAGAAAAACAAAAATTACCTGAGATAAAAAATTAACGTCATATACAACATAAGTATGTTGAATGGAAAAGTAGCTTTCAATTAAAAAACAGCCCCTGCATGTTCTTGTATTACCCGTTTTCTGAATTGAGACCCTATTTCCAAGCTTGGTTTCTGCTTACTTTCTTTTTTTTCTTCAGGGAACTGCAGCCCTCGTTTTATGAGATGCACTATGTACAATATACCATGCAACAAAGACTTACTTCAAGCATCCAGCATACCATTAGCAACAGTCATAACCCCATTTGCTGAAACAGACCCCTCTGAGGTCAGTTTTGCTATTAAGAACTGTAAAGCTTTGATTCTGAGAAAGGTACCTTAACCCTTTAAACCATAAGATTAAAATTTGAATTCTCATTTGTTGCCCCTATTCATTTCCTACAGAAGTAGTGGGGAGTAGTTGATAAATCAAGCAAATTCATCTTGTGTGATCATGCCCATAGTTCTCACGACCACTCTGTTTTAACTATGCATTGATTTTACAAGGAGAAATTTGATGCTGATCACTCATAGGGTTTAAAGGGTTAAAGTGTACCAGATTTTAAAAGCCATCATTTTTGCTAACTGAATTTGGGAGATTCAACAACACCATAGGTTTGATTTTATATGATGACAATACAGATTCAAGAATTAGTGTACCTTGTACATAGTGATAAACAATGCCAAAGGAAAGTACTTATCATTAGCTTTCACTTGAATATACATTATTTGGAGGTATTCCCGTACTAAAATTAAAATGTTCGTCAATGGCAATGCAATGAATTCAGTCTTCACTGAAACTGGTGCACTTCAAGAAGGTATAGAACAGGACCAACCGCTTTTTAATGTGAGAAAGCACTGCTGAAAGCAGTTCAAACTTTCAATGGTCTTGAAAGCACATGGCTGAATGTAAGAGCAAAGAGTCACCTAAATTAGGACAATATAATTTAATAAGGTAAAAAAAATTAAGCACAGGTTTTTAGAGGATTTAGGTTTTTTCTAGTAGCTAGATAAACACTTCCTTTCTTAAACTAAGTTGTCCACCATAGAAAAGATAAAAGATTCAAAAATTCAAAAGCTGACATTTGGAATGCTAGCCCTTTCTCAGAGAAAATCTTCCAGAGTCACTTCCCCATCGATACACAGCACAACTATTTTAAAAAATTAGTTCCTTCGTTCTAGAAGGGTGAAACATTCCTTTTAATTATTGGTGTTTCTATCCTTCACAGCCTCCTCTTCGCATCATGGACTACAATCCCACAGGCCCTGTGCGTTGTAATCGTTGCAAGGCGTATATGAATCCTTTTGTACAGTTTGTTGATGGTGGTAGAAGATTTTTATGCAATATTTGCAATTACTCTTCAGAAGGTAAAAGTCAAACATTCAGCTAGTATATACTGGTACTACTAGTAGTAAGCAAAGGTTAGAGTGTGGGTGAAATCGATACAACTTCAAAATTCTCCTCCTCCAATGTTGATCTCTGTGTTCCTTTTTAAGCAATAGAAGGTCAAAACATGCGTAAACAGATCAGGAAAAAAAATGAAAATAGAACCAAAGGAACTTTCTAGTTGTTCAATTCCCCTTCCATTCACTGAATATACCCAGTGACTTGAAATCTTAGTGACAGCCCTAATATGTCAACTTTCTGACAACAGGTTACAGTTCCATTATTCTGAGTTAGCTTTATGAAGGTTTTGATTCTTGATTGATGTTAATAAATTACTTAAATGTTTTTGTTCATAGTTCCTGGGGAATACTTTTGCCATCTCGATCACCAAGGCCTCAGACTCGACACATACGACAGACCAGAACTTCATCTTGGGTCATATGAATTTGTTGCCACCAAAGACTACTGCAAGGTACAGTGTGTAGTATTATTTGCTGGGTGATGCAAAGTTAATGTCAGATGAGTGCATGGAAAATTGTTAGTGACAAGAAAATGTACAGATATATTCTTCAAAACAGTGGATATCTTCACTGCTCAGTCCTTTATGAGCTAGACCATGTCTCTTTTGTCTCCTTAGCATGTGGAGATTTGAAGTGAAAAATTCTCACATTTGGTCACCCAATAAAAAGCTCGAAAGGTCGAAAGGATCAAAATTGTTCACATGCTCACTTCATGGCTGATGTAGCTGTAAATCAAATATGTATTTTTAATCAATAAAGTGGACAATCTCCCTCAATCAGGATTTGAGGATTTAAACCTTAATAATACTCACACAGGGCTGATGCAGAAAGGTTGCACTTTGTCATCATAAAAGTAGGCTTACAATGTGGGATAGGTCACAAATAAATTATCGTAGGGATGTGGCAATGATTTGTACCATCTAAAACACCCAGTGTACTATATCATAAACAAAATGATGTATGAAACTTCCTTTTTTCTTTAAGTTTTTTAATTGTTTGATTTTATTCAAAACAGGATCAAAAGTTACCGGGTCCTCCTGCCTACATATTTATGATTGATGTGTCATACCAGAGTATGCAGTGTGGAATGGTTAGAATGCTCATGAGAGAGCTCAAAGAACTCTTAGATGTACTTCCCAAGTAAGCCTGATCTTGATCTCCTTTTTAAAAAATCTTTATTCTTAAGGTTAATCCTTACGTGCCTTTAGGGCTTGAAAAAAACTTGAATTCCAGCTTGTCCTTTGGGCAAGCAGCCCTCTAGTAATTTTGTTAGGATGACCGGCCTGCAACCTGGCCCACTTCAAGCTTACTTCCTCAACAAGAAAATGTTATTGTGCTGGATTATTGGACAGGACTTTTTTCAAGCCCTGTGCAAATATTGTTCATTTTGATTTTTTTTTCAATCCTGTAGAGAGCATGGCCAAGAACATTCATTGATTAGAGTTGGATTTGTCACATATAACAATCATTTGCATTTCTACAATGTTAAGGTAAATTCTTCAGCACTTTGGAGTATTTAATATTTATCTTTTTTGGAAGTATACAGGATGATTTCATCAACATTTTGGGATTTTGCATAATGCATGCTTACCTCATTTAGTGTTGCCAATGTGTTAGGGCAGATTGACCTGAAAAAGCAAGAGTATTTTTAAAGTTAATTGTGTTTGCAGTTGTTTTGGTCAAACACACAATGCCGTTTTGAACGCATCTTAAATCTAAATGGATAACAAAGTTGAATTCAAATTGATCTGAAAACTAATAGCAAGGGGCTCTTATTTCTAGGAATGCAATAATATTAAAATCATTCTTTTTTCTTCAGAGTAACCTTGCCCAGCCTCAGATGATGGTAGTCTCAGACATTGAAGATGTCTTTGTGCCCCTTGTTGATGGCTTTTTAGTAAGTCCTCAGGAGGCCAGAAGTGTAGTAGATAGGTATGGCTTGATATTTTAGGGCAGTTTTTCTTAGTGTCTTTATAAGAGAAAGTGAAGCTATGGCATGTATTTTCATTTTTTCTGGCACTGCACAATTTATTACCTTCATTATTTTCTGGCACTGTGCGATTTATTACATTATTTTAAATCAATTTTATTTTTCAGCCTTTTGGAGCAAATTCCTACAATGTTTGGAGAAACAAGAGAAACAGAAACAGTTCTGGGACCTGTTATTCAAGCTGGAATGGAAGCACTCAAGGTTGCTTTTATTTTTATAACTTTTTTTTATCTAGACACGTGAAATTTTTTTTCCAACACCTTTGCAAAGCTCTGTTGTGTGTCAGCAACCTTTGTGGCATTGTGTGTAGTAAATTATTGATTCTCTGGCAATGTTAATTCTCAGTAAAATCAGTGGTTGATCATCCAGTATTCCAAGTATGATAATTGCAGATTAGAACTGTTACCTCAGGATATGTGTTGCTGCTAAAAATGGAAGGAAATGACAAGTCATCATCTTCTCTTGTTTTTGTATAGGCAGCTGGAATATCAGGAAAACTGTTTGTTTTCCATTCTTCCCTACCCATTGCAGAGGCACCTGGGAAATTAAAGAACAGAGAGGACCGCAAATTACTTGGTTCTGAAAAAGAAAAGGTAATGTTTTGTTAAAACTGTTATTGAACAGGATTTTTGACAGCAGAAAACAATTTTCCTGAACTGTGGCAGGATTAGCTCAGCTGGGAGAGCACTTGACTGCAGAGAGGAGATCATGGGTTTGATTCCCAGGGCGGACCAATACTCAGGATCTTAAAATAACTGACAAATGAGGATATTTCCTTTGCCCTGTAAATGCCTGGACCTTCGTGTGGCTTGGATGACCACTTAATCTCCAGTAGGAGACTTAAAAATAGTGTCCCCAATTAGTACTTTTGTGTTAAATATATTGACACTCAAAGAAAGTGCATTTTTTTTGAGAAATCTTCACTTGAGTAGGCAACCCAGAAGGTATCCTTAATGAGCTTGGCTTCCCAAGATGTCCCCATAACTAGTTTAGCCATTAGTATCCAAACTACAGCTGTCTCCCAGGGTGAGAGGTGGGGGGGGGGGGGGGGGGGGGGGGGATGAGGGGGGTAATGCCCCATAAATTATTATAATATTTTGCAAAAGGCATTATGGTGAGGGGGGGGGCAAATTTCGCAACTTGCGGAGCTGTGTTGACAGATTTTAGCAAATTTTGGAAGGGTCTATTCAGCTGTACTCTTTTCAAGCAGCTTATTTTGGAAATGATAGTCTCGTACTTTTAGTATTATCATTGGTAAAAATAATGGTTTTCTTTTTTCACAGACAATACTTACACCACAGAATCACTTCTATGAAAAACTTGCCAAGGATTGTGTAGAAAATGGTGTTGCAGTGGATCTGTTTCTCTTTCCCAATGCATACATTGATGTAGCAACCATTGGATCAGTAGCAACTCTCACAGGAGGACAAATCTACAGATATTCCTATTTTAAGGTGAGGAATGTTGATGTCAATTATTTCGATTTTAGTATTCAGTAATTTCTCCATCTTGAGCAACAATGTTTAGACTGTATTATACCTAGATTTATAAACCAGCATACAGTTTGCTTTTATCATCGCTAATCTTTGGATAGCAGTACTTAAGATACATCTTACAAAAGGACTTGTTGACCATGAGTTTCTCCATGAGAACAAGTGCACTGAGTCTTTGGTTTCATGAAATAGTAAATACCCAAACAACTTCCCTAACCCCTAACTACAATAGGAACTACAAGTTGCTAGGACCAAGTAGATTCAGATTTCAGATTAGAGATCTTGGCTCAAATCCCATCAGGGACCCAGCTTTTTTCTTTCTTCTTTGCTAGTGATAATAATGGTGAGTATTACATCTCCTCTATCTTGAGCTGTCATAAAAAGGCAAATTGTTACATTTTTGCACCAACTCTGCTCTTTCCAAAATCACAGTTGAAGGAAAATTTCATAATAGTTTTGTTGGTTTGGATAAGAGTTATTGATCTACAGTCAAACTCCTTCCCATAGATTTGATGAGTTAGGACCAAGCAAATTGTGTGTAAAAGAGAGGTGTCCTCACAAAGAGGTTTGACTGTGCAACATAACTCTAATATTGTAAAATGCCAGGTATATAAACCTGTTTTTATTGTCCTACAGGAAGCCACACATGGAGAACAGTTTCGTGGAGACCTGAAGCGAAATCTTCAGCGTAATGTTGGTTTTGATGCTGTCATGAGATTGAGGTGTAGTACAGGTAAATGATATTAAATTTATAAAAATTAATGAGCAACTTCAACAATCTGGCCCGGGTTGCTCGAAGCATGGTTAGTGCTAACCAGCGTTAAATACCATGGAAACCTATACAATTTGATACCTCTTAACCAACGGTTAGCGCTAACCAGGCTTCGAGCAACCGGCACCAGTACACTAAGTTTTTATTCAGCATGCTTGCTCTACAAGGTGACATTTTGACATTGCCATTAATGAGTTGTTTTGTGTACAAACAGGGCTGCGGCCAGTTGATTTCTGGGGCAATTGCTACATGAGCAACACCACAGATGTCGAACTTGCTTTTGTTGATCCAAACAAGGTAGTATTTTTGTTTCTGACCTTCAGTCATTACTATCATTGTGGAGGAATGTGTTCATGGGGCAGATAGTGGATTCCAAAATGATTGATAGGACTTCTAATAATTTTTTGAGGCTCAACAGGATTTTGTATATAAAAGTAACTTAAAAGGGTGCTTGGAAAAAGTCTCAATTAATTCTGTTTAACTTGGGACTTAGTTAAATGTGTATTTCCTTGTGACACAAGAGGGGATTGACATTAAGATAATTGCTGTTATGTTAGGTAGCAAGTTTTTAGTGGTCAGCAACACCTGGCTTGCTTATGGTGGGCGACAAAGGTTGCCAGTTAAACAAGATTCTCGGAGACAATGAACATTTTTGTACTTAGGTGAAGTATCTCGGTCAGACTGTGTACATCTTGGAGGGCCTTAATTTAAATTGACTCCTATTTGTTTGTTTTTCCATCAGGCAATTGCCATTGAAATAAAACATGACGACAAGCTACCAGAAGAAGGCCAGGCTTATTTCCAGTGTGCATTGCTTTATACATCTATCAGTGGACAGCGAAGATTAAGAGTCCACAATTTAGCCTTCTCTACTTGTAGCCAATTATCAGACTTGTTCCGATGCTGTGAGATGGATACCTTTGTTAATGTTGTGTCCAAACAAGGTAAGCTGTATTCTGCTTGTGATATTAATTTGTTGTTGTTGTTTAATGCTGAAGGGCTGTGTTGGAGACACATGGTGTCATGCATCTTAATCTTTAGATAGCTTGATAAGTTCCAATATTATTTTCAAACCCACTAGTTAAAAAGTTATCCTTTCATTGACACTGTCAATATTACCTCTCAAAAGGCATAAAAGCCTGATTGTATTTATGACGGATCATATTCACAGGGTTTTCAGATAGGAACATGACTTTTAGTGGTGATTGGGTAGAGAGATTGTGACATAAACCAGCCACATCACTATTTTTAATTTAAAGACCTTTCTTAAACAACATTTTACCGGATGAGTCATCATTCGTCCCCTTTTTTGTGGTACGTTTTACTCTAAAAACTGAAAACCGTGAACATTGAAATATTTCTAGAGTAATTTCACACTGCTTTTCTATTCTGCAGCTATCAGACAGGTATACACATCAACTCCTAAGGCTATCAGGGAAAACCTTATGAACCAATGTGCACAGATCTTAGCCTGCTACAGACGAAACTGTGCCTCTCCTTCATCTGCTGGCCAGGTAAACTTCTAAACTGTGTTATTGTTTGGGTTACAGTAGTCATACACAATTACCATGTCAGTAATGACTTTTAGCCACTTCACAAAGTACAGATTCTTCTTCTCAGAAGAGTATTGAGAGTGCCAGCTTGCTAGAACTATTTGCCGAATGGTCCTCTTTACAGCTAAATTAGAAGTGGTTCTGAAATGATTATTATAAATAACAAAATTATTGTAAATTGTAGTGTGGATAATTTAAAGGGAATTCATTATTTTAAATCAGTTTCAAGTGAAATGCAAATGTTTTATAAATTGAAATTATTTACCACTGTTTTGTAATCATGTTAGTATGTAATAACCAAACATTATGGATAAACCAGGATCACCAAGTAAAAAGTCTTGATTATATTAAACAATTTCATCTTATTAGGGCCAGGGGAAATATGTAAATCCAGACATACTATTTTTCCTGAGGCTTAAACATGATGCTCATAGTGTTTTCTTACCAATGTATTTCTGTTTCATGGCTGTGCTACTTATCAAATACAAGGGTTGTATGCCACAAAAATACTGTAAGTGGTCTTCTTTGCCAATAGCAAGTGAATTAGAGCGTGTGATTTCTGTGTTCCAGCTGATTCTCCCTGAGTGTATGAAACTGCTTCCTCTTTACACAAATTGTATTTTAAAGAATGACATTCTTTTAGGAGGTGAGTGCAACGATGTGAGATATTTGTTCAGTAATCTATTACCGGTATTTCTTTAATATGGCAGAGGATATAGCAATAACACTACAGAGAAGCTAGTCCACCATGAAAATAACTATTGTTTTTATACCTTCCAGTTCAGGCACATTTACTAATAATTGGATGAAAACGTTTTATATGCTATGTGCGATGAAGAAAACTTGCTTACTCCTTAGATTGCCAGTTGTACCAAGCAAATACATATTTTTTCCACCTTGTCTGTTGTCTTTTGCTTGGGAAAACACTGGATCAGATATTTTTGCAAGTTTGTTGATTGTCATTGTTAGAAAGGAAAGAGTTACCATGACTTTATTATTGTTGTACAATTAAGGTTCAGAGATGAGTTCTGATGACCGGAGCTGGTTGATGAGATCAGTAATGTCTATGGACCAGGCAGCCTCTGTGCCATACTTCTATCCACGACTTTTTCCAATGGTATGGATCATATTCATTTTGATTCTTTTCCCTTGTCCGTTTAGAGCACTAGGTTGAGGGGGCATTCTGGTTATTATTTTGTAGAAAATGGGTTTGATTTGAGAAGGAAAGAAATTAGGGTACAAAAAGTTACTCACAAACCATTGTATTCATCAAAAATATTCGAAAAATCATCCAAAAATTCTCACACATTTATTAAATCTACGATTTAGACCTTATGGAGCCATTTTTGACTGAATGAAATCTTGGCTAGATTTGTAAGAAAAAGGGCAGAAATAAATAGAAAAAACAAGGCTTTTGACACGAATACCCCCTTAAGCTTTGCCCAGAGACACGCACAGCTTCCAAAAGCTGAGTTATTTTCAGATGCTTAGTTCACTTATGTAGCCAGATAGCTAATACACCAAAACATATTTAAGGTCCACAGTGCTTTCTTGAAGCAATGAAATGGTGCAAAAAAAACCTGAAACCTGTCGATGAAGGGAGGGGGAGGGGGCTGGGGCTAAGATACCTATTACGTTTGTTGCATTATAATAAACCTGTGCATACTTGTTATATTTGTGGTAGTGCAGGCATCCATAATGCTACAGTGATGATGATTACCCAGGCAGTTACACTCACTGTCAACAATAATGATCTGACTTTGAGACTATGAGTTCGGGTAACATGTGCTAAACTGCTCATTTATCTTAGTTTATATTGTGAAAATGTTCGTATACTATTGCTGTATGACTATTGCGACTTTTAAGTTTTTGGTGCTGACAAAAGCAAATTTTTGGCTGTCTACAAAATGACCATGGTAGTGAAAATGTCATTAACTGCGAACTTGGTCACCAACATTATGATGTTTCCATGGCAGAATGAAAAGAATTTGTACCTGTCTATTTTTGAAGCTTAGGTCGTACATATTTAAGGTAAACGGCATGAGTTAATGAGCAGAAATTAGTATTTTTTGTACATCTTAACAGTAAGGTTTCTTTCTGAGCTGAATTTTCCAATTATTCTCTTTCAGCATGATTTGGATGAGGACTCTACTGATCTACCCCAAGTCATTAGATGCTCGGCTGATCGAATGTCAGAGAATGGTGTTTACCTATTAGGTGAGTTAATGATACTCGTTGCTGATCATCCGTGGACCTGTATAAACTTCTCTTGCCTACAGACGTTTCTTCTTTTTATCTTTCGTTTTCTTTTCAAAGAATCTTGTGAGCATACGAGAGTGAGCATGGAGCGTGCTAACCCTAAGTTTTCTCATTTACCCAGCCCCATCCCCTTGCGCTAGAAATCATCAAAATCTCCCTCAGTTTTTATTCTCATACGCGACTCAAGGATCTCTAAAGAGAAAGTAGAACAAGCTGGTGTAAACTAAGTTACATTCAATAATGTAACTAAAAGATTGACTTAACCCCACAGTTCAGTGTTTGCTCTGCTTTGTCAGTCCTTTTGATTTATTCGAGTCATCATTATTGGCAAGATGCTGTCAGCTTGGTTCACCAATGAATTATTTCTTAGTCCAGCCTTAACGTTAATTCTGTGATTTAAGAAATCCACTTTTTTTTGTAATTATTATAATTAACAGAAAATGGAATTTCACTGTTCCTGTGGATTGGTCTTCAAGTTGACCCCAGCTGGTTGCACAAAGTGTTTGGAGTCCAGACTATTGGCCAAGTGGACATTGAAATGGTACAGTTTTGTGTTTCTTCTCATTGATGTCAATGGAACGTGAACTGAACGTTTTCGCTTCTACAATTTTGTAGTTCTCGCATTTGATTTTTCCAACTTAGACTGCTAGCAGCTACTTAAAGATTGTCACAAGGACAAGAATTTAGACTGAGTATCAGGCTTTGTTTAGCGGGGGGAGAGGATAGGGAACCGAAAATTAAGAAGGAAAGGAATCCCTCCCTGGTTGGTGCTTTGAATCCCTTCTCCCTTACCCTTGAGGATAGTACCATACTCAGGTTAGCGAGCATGTTATGTGAAAGCAAATGAGGCAAACGTTTCCTTCCCCTCCAGTTTTGCCAAGTATTGACTCCACGTTATGAAAGGCGACTGCCTCAATGTTATTTTTTCTGCAACTTCAGTAGAATTATTTGGGGTATTTTTTAATTAATATTTTTTACAATTTCACATGTACATTTACCAATAGAAACGATCATCTTATGTTGAAATTTTTGTCGCAGTAACTTGTCATTTTTCTCTTTACAGACCTCTCTTCCAGTCCTTGACAATTCTCTTTCTGTACGGCTCAACAACATTGTTCGACAGATCCAAAACCAAAGACAACACAATCTTAAGGTAAAACATCTTGTCTATTAAAAATAGTATTGTTAGTTGTATTGAGGTGGTGTAAAGTGTTCTTGATCATGCACCATTTGCCAGAGCAGAATGTGAAATTATCGTCCTTTGCCAAAGATTATGTTTTAACGTATTTTTGCCACAAGTTTCTGCCATGGTAGCGGTTAATTATTGATTGCATTCCTGTAACTGAGAAGTTTGAAATGCAAACTTTACATTTCCTAAGCAACATATTTTACCAAGAGCCATAATGATTTTACTCAAAACAACCTGTGCGTTTATGAAAAGACAAGGGGGCGAATTCGCCTCGGAAAATCACATGACCCATATTGGGAAATTAAAACGCACAACTCAAGAGGCCATTAATAGTATTATTTTACTTTACCATTATTGCTTTTTGGGGGACCTCAATAAGACATGAGCACGTAACCTTTCTCTGAATGTTCGGTGAAGCTGAGACAGAATTCTGATTTGATATTGCCGTTTTATTACCTTGCAGTTAACCATTGTACGGCAGCGAGACAAGCTTGAAGGATGGTTCAAACATTTCCTCGTAGAGGATAAAGGCATTAACCCGGCTGCCACTAGTTACGTGGACTTTCTGTGCCAAATGCATAAGGAAATTAGAAACTTAATGAACTGATCGATATGCGGCTACTCATCACACACAACAAGAAATGAATTGGGAAGACTGTGGAAGTGGAGACGAGACAGATGCGTAAAAAATTCCCTTCAGTTTTCACGATGGCTCGAAACTGCAGCTCTGAAGCGCTTCTTAGTGTTCTGAGTAATGGTGAGACGTTGAACCACCACGGAGAGCAGATGGTTAACAAGACGTTTATATGACTGAGTGAAAATGTGCTATCAGAGTTTTGTTTTTAAAGTCAGCTGCATCCAGCATACGCAGCGGTCTTAAATATTTACTGTCTCTGGGTTTTGTCAGCTTTAGTAACTTTTACATGCCACAGGAGATGCTAAAAGTAGTACATCCAAATCAAATTTACTCAGGAAAAGTTTATAATTGAATGTCCAAAGAAGAACATCGCAGATGTTTTGCTCCTTAGATGTATAAAAAAGGAAAAATTCCCCGTGCTCCAGATGCACCCAGATGAAATTAAGCGTTAATGGGTTACCACCTATAAGATGTAAGTTCAGATTAGTTATCATTATTTCCATTCCCATCTGAATAAAACCAAGCTTATGACTGATTTCATTTGTATTGATGTCTTTCCTATGTTAGGAGAGCAAGTAAGGTGCAGTGGTGAGACAGTCGCTCTCTTGACCAATGTTGCCCGGGTTCAAACCCCAGCCGGGACACCATATGTGGGTTCAGTCTTTTGTTGGCTCTCTCCCTTGCTCTGAAAGATTTCTCTCTGTGTACTCTCATTTTTCCCTCTCCTCAAAAACCAAACGACTAAATTCCAATTCCAATTCCAACGAAGAATCAATTAAAGAGTTATTTGTTTTTATTTATTTCTCAGTTTCCTGGAATTTAAATAAGGTGTTTTCGAGCAAAACCTTTCTTAATAAATTGGAAAAAAGGGATTGTTGTTTAGACACAGCGTGGTACACCTGTGAGCAGAGTCCTTTGTAGTGAGAAAGAAGAAAGACTGCAGAAAGTTGATGACGCAACTGCTTTCTATAATACTTATCCGCCGGATACTGTTTTACCTAATGCATGGCCCTGTCCACCGTTTGAACAACCAGGGCCAGGTGACGGTTGTTCAAAGGCTAAATAGCGCTAATGTAACAATAACAAAACAGAACGCGTAGATCATTAACGTAACAAACACAAAACAGAGTGCGCAGGACAGAACGGGAACGTCAATTGACAACGGCGCGCGCAAATCAAACAACCGCCTTTACCAATAATTGTGTACCGGAAGTCGCGTTTAGTCCTTTTTCGCGCGCTTTCCCGTCGTCAACTGACGTTGCCGTTCTGTTGCTAAGAGCGCGCAGGTCATTAATGTAACAATGCAAAACAGAGCGCGCCGGTCATTAATAGGGACCTTACGAAACTACGACGGCGACGGCTACGGCAACGTCAAAAAGCAATAGGTTTAGTTGGCAAAACAACAACTCTGCACGTGCATCACGCTTTTTTGTACATTTCTTTGCCGTCTCCGCACAACTACGACGTGAAATGACCAAATTTTAAGTTTTTTTGAGGACGGGAACGGCAAGCGATAAATTCCGCCATCTCTGTCTGAACTCGGGCGCGGCCCCCCTCTTCAGTTCCAGCCTAAATTCCTTTCTTTTAAGTGACAGGGCGACTTGTGAAAATCGCGAAATGGTTTGAAAGGATGCGAGGTCTATTTTTCAGTGACTTTTTCATGGACGTCGCCGTTGTCGGATCGTAAGGTCCCTTCATTAATCTAACAAATACAAACCAGAGCGCGCAGGTCATTAACGTAACAAATACAAACTAGAGCGCGCGGGTCATTAATGTACCAAATACAAACCAGAGCGTGCAGGTCATCAATGTAACAAATACAAAACAGAGCGCGTAGGTCATTAACGTACTCAAATAAAAAACAGAGAGCGCAGGTCATTAATGTAAGAAATACAAAAAAGAGCACGCAGATCATTAATATACCAAATACAAACCAGAGCGCGCAGGTCATTAATGTAAAAAATAGTATAAAGATTTAGCCAGGGTCAAAAGCAAAGCTCTGGTTAATAATACTTATTAACCAAAAAAAATTAAATCGTGTAATGCTAAAAGGGGACGGCAATGAAAATGGCATCAAGATCAACAGATCTAATTTGCGAATTTGTGCTGCACGTGCAGGAAGGAGGAATTGTCGTATGTGCTTTCCCAAGATTTTGTTTCCTCTGTTCATGTTGGGTTTTATTTTTTCACTTCCTCTCATTTTCACCTTGCTGGCCGCTAGCATTTCTCATTTTTTCACCGCCGCTATGAAATTTTCATGTTTTTTTTTCCCAAAGAAATTCGTCTCCTTTGACTTCAATCACTCGCTCTAGCTCTTTCTCTCTGTAATCCACGTGAGAGTAAACATCGGAAATAACGTCGAAAAAGACACGACTTCATTGTTCTTTTTTCTCTCTAAAAGTCCGGGCGGCCATGCGATTTCCTTCCAAATAAAACCTTGAGTTCCATTTGGGTTCCCATACCTATTGATTGAGTTATATTATATTGGTGCACCTGTGGTGCGGGCGGAAAGGCGGTCGGTCCGACGTACGGTCACGTGACTACCAAAATTTTTCGGATGCATAGGTTACCAAATTTTCTTGGCCATGGTGCTCCGCTACAATACATAGCGCACAGGTCATTAATGTAAAAAATACAAAACAGAATGCGCAGGTCATTAACGTAACAAACAAAATAGAGCGCGCAGGTTATTAACGTAACAACCACAAAACAGAGTGCGCAGGTCACTAATGTAACAACCACAAAACAGAGCGCGCAGGTCACAACAAATACAAAACAGAGCGCGCAGGTCAATTAACGAAACAATACAAAACAGAGCGCCCACGCCATGGACGTAACAAACACAAAAAAGAACGCGCAGGTCACTAACGTAACAAACAAGAACGCACAGGTCATTAATGTAACAAACACAAAAAAGAGCGCACAAGTTATTAATGTAACAAACACAAAACACATCGCATAGGTCACTAAAGTAACAAACACGAAACATAGCGCACAGGGCCCAGTTGTTCGAACGCCGATTAGCGCTTAACCCAGGGTTAAATTTAACCCTGGTTTCTTTTTCTTGTGTTCAAAAGCATTTTCTCGGATAATTTTCTCTGTTATTTTTAAAGCTTCCAATCATCAACTTGTACACAAAAAAAATTAAAACTGAAGTACTTTTTAAGCTTTCAAATCTGGGTTCAAATCTCGCACTAACCCCGGGTTAATTTAACCCAGCTTTGAACAACTCGGCCCACGTCACTATCGTAACAAACACAAAAAAGAGCGCACAGGTCACTAACGTAACAAACACAAAACAGAGCTTGTTGAGGTCCCGAACAAATACTTCACATTCTTTTCTTTCTTGATACATTTCGCTCTATGTTTATTCTCCGATTTATTTAATTTGAAAAACTAAAAATCCTTTCTCTCTTTACAACAAGCATTCTAAAATTTTCAGGTTAGAGATTGGTATAAATATTATTACATTTACACAAGTAGCGTTCCCTTCTTTACTCCTTGCTACGCATGCACCAATACAAAAATACTACCTTGAAGAGCTACAAAACTCTTAAATATTTAGCTCTTTAAAAACAGCTTGTCAAAACTAAGTACCGGTATATGTATCAGAACGTTTTAAGTTTTCGTAACTGCCACTATTAAAAATCTCCACAATTTAGTGTAGCAGAAGGTGAGAGAAATGAAGCCTAAGTGTCTAAAAAGCTTTTTAAAACAAGAACACCTCTCGTCAACAAAGGTGTTTGGCTTCTAACAGAAAAACACCTACAACAACGACAACAAATAGCCACTTGAGTGGGTGCACGCGGTTACTTTTTTCGTTCTTCAGTTAATACACTTTTCGGCAACATACTCCTAAAATAAGCTTTACTCTTTAAAATATTATGTTGCAAAAACTAACTATTTCTGGTAAAAAATTGGCAAAAACGATTCAAATGATTCTGCTATAAGTCAGAGAGCTTCCTGTTATTGACAAAATGGGTGATCTGCACCATCTCAAACTCCAATGAACAGAATCCATTTCTTTCGAGCCCTTTAAATTGCAGCACCTACTGTTCTGAGGGTAAGGGCATGTTATTGTTTGAGTCCTTTATCGAAGCCTGTAATGACAGCCATCATTTCATTGCAAACAGTGAAAATAGCACCTGACAAAAAACCTCCTAAAATAGCTTTGATTCATTTATCTCCACGTACTATGCACATTTAACCTAATAAATTCATATAATACTAATTATCATGAGTGATGCCATTTATCTTTGTCTGTTTTCTGTATCATCATCTCCAGAGGAACATATCTTTGATAGAATAACTGTCATTGGTGTTACGTCCTCTTTGAACAACTCGGTCATGTTGGCAAACTTGTTTTTAATGTTTCGCTTGCGGGTTGCTGCATGAAGCAGAATAACTGGAGAAAAATTAAAACATTTTATGTAATTACTTGGCTGTAATTACTTTACATGTCAACCTAAAATGGAGTGGATTGTTTATTCTAAAAAAATAATTGTGAAAGTTTAAATTCCCCTGCCAATTACTGGTAGTTTTATTGAACAAATCATTAGCTATTCTACAAGACAGTTCATTTAAGGAAGTGCACTAACAGAAATGTCCCTTAAACGTCTGACGAGCAAAAACTTAAAACTTCTCAAACTGAACCAGGAAACCTGAGTCTTTTTCTCAAGGGTAATGGTTAATACTGTATTTATAGATCAAACTCAGGCTAATATTTAACACAGTAATAGATGTGTAGACAATAATGACAGCCAAAGAAATCCTTTCTGTCCATTTTTACAAATCATATACTTCACTGTTTAGTAAGACCATGTGTCAAGTGGCCGCTTACCAAAGGTTAAAACAATAGAAAATTCTTAAACTGTCAGCCGAAAAAGTGGTCACGGTCGCTTAGGGGAGGTGGTCATTTATGAGTGGTTCTTGAATAAGGCTGTGACTGAGGATTTTTTGGGGGGTTTGGGAGGGTGGTCGCTTATGGGAGGTGGTCAC